ACTGGATTAAGTATACTTCAAAAAAGGTTAATGAATGCTAATTTTGTCTATCTCAAACAACACACTGAAAATCCTAAAGTCTTTGTATATAAAAATAAAGTCCATTTATTTTTGCTTCTCCCCAACCCCCATAAAAACATAAACAATAAAAACATAGGTTTCTGAAGAAACAATTGAAGGTTATTTTTTGTTGCGTGTATAAAGACTGCTCTCACTAATGAGCATGTTCTGGAAGTCTCTCACTGGAAATCTGCCTCCCAAGTTATCTGAGGAGAAGCACCACCACCACTCTGTAGCAAGGCTCAGCAAATTGTAGGACCGGTTTGATTTGATTCTGAGCTAAGAACAGTTTTCATCACCTTGTTTGTGTTTTGGGATTTTTTTTTTCATAACCATTTTTAAAGTGTTATAAAACAAAATTTATAGGAAGGAAGAATGCAGCAAAGACTGTAAATAACCTGTGAAGTCTAAACTATTTAGCCCTTTTCAGCAACAGTTTGCTAACCTCTGGGCCCAGCATGAAGCTAAGACTCCTTATTCATGTCTCATTGATATGCAGACACTCAACTTTCATTCCAAGATTTTTAAAAAGCAACATAAGATATGTAAAACCAAAAAACAACCCTCAACCTCACTGCTACTGAGTCAATTCTGACTCACAGAAAACCTGTTTAGGGTTCTGAGACTGCTAATCTTTACAAAATTTAAAAATTGTCTCCACTTTTTCCTGCAGAGCAGCTGGTGTGTTTAAACTGCCAACCTTGCCATTAGCAGTCCAGTGCTTATCCTGAGATTACGCAAAAATAGAGAGCTCATATTCTATAGATCAGCACACTGTGAGTTTGGTACTGGCAGGGGGTGTTGCAGTCACAGACACCCTCAAATGTGGAAGTGGTTTTAGAACTGGGTATTGGGCAGCGGCTGAAGAGTTTTAAGGGACAGACTCAGGAGAACTAAGAATGTCAAAAGCATATTTGGAGAAGGCTCAGAGGAAAGTGCAGAGAGCTACAGAGAAAGTATCATCTCAGAGGATACATCTAGCATCTGCAACAGAAGCTTACTAGAAACATTCACTGTGCTGGTGAGGCTTTAAAAGAATAGGGTAAACAGCTGACTGGACAACTCTTTGTAGTGACAAACAGCTATGTGTCTGAAGTATGTTCAAATTTTGATGAAAAGTAGAACTTGTAAAGATGAAGCTGGATAGCTGGCTGATGAGCTTTCTAAGCAAAATCTTAAAGGGAACAAACTATTGCTGAAAAGGGCTAAATAGTTTAGACTGCAGGTTATTTACAGTCTTTGCTGCATTCTTCCTTCCTACTTGTTACTGATCATAAAGTAAAAGAAAAAAGAGATGGACTTAAAAATGAACTGTGCAAAATGAAAACATAATTTCAAGATTTGGAAAAGTCTGTTGTACAAGCTAAGGACATTTGTCCTTGAATTTTCACCAATGATGTGGTCGTATAACCTTTTGTTAAAGAGATTAGTCCTATGACTGATGGATCTAACCAACTATCACAGTAGAAAACCCATCAGCTTAATTTGAAGAGGACAAAGAAAGAACAAAAGGAAAGAACCCTGTCTGCCTCTTAAAATTCTAGTCAGGAAATAGGCCAACGAAACTACACCTGTTGTCCTCCAATAAAAAAGGGACCGTTTTTGGAAGAGCTTAGAGATCAAAAGAACTGTTGGAAGGACCATAAGAAGCAGGGCCTTCTTGGCTTCAAAGGGTGGGGACACAATCCCTAGATCTCAAAGAGCTGGGTTTTCACTAACTTGGTTCCAGAGTGTGGGGTTGCTAGGGTGTACTAGAGGGATGGGGCTGTGGCCTAAAGCTGAGAGGGCAGGGATGCCATGACCAAGGGGCAAAACACATACTGGACTAAGAATGAGGCTGCCTAACGCAGAGAACAGAGCTGCCATACCAATAAGCTTAGAAGGCAGAACTGAAGACCAGAACTCAGGGGCCTTAACCCAGAACTCAGAAGATGTGGGTAACACCCAGAGCCCAGATGGAAGGGCCATTGTCCAGATGGTTTCAGAGACCAAAGGATTATTTTCAAGAGTGACTGTAAACCATTCTGGGTTTTGGAACTGATGGGTGTTATCCTTCTTTCCCTTCAGTTTCTTCCATTTATAATGGAAATGTCTCCTTTGTACCTGTGCTACCATTGTACTTTGGAAATGGATAACTAGTATTATAGATTTCACAGTCCTGGTGTGGTACTGTAGGATAATCAATTCACTGCTAACCACAAGGTTGGTGGTTCAAATCCTCCAGCCACTCCTCAGAAACCCTATATAGGGTAACTGTGAGTCAGAACTACCTCAATGGCACAAAACAATAACAACAGATGATGAAGAATTTTGTCCCAGGATGGAATATACCTAAAGTCTCATCCATATTTAATTTAGATGCTTCAGAAGAGATTTGGGATTTGGGAGTTGATCTAAGATTTTTGTGATGATGTGATATGAATGTGGCAAGGACATGAATTCTGGGGGTAAAAGAGTAAACAGTAGAATGTTAAATTCCCCCCCCCCCAAAAAAAAAAAAAAAAAGATGTGTAGTAAATCCTAATATCTAAGCCTGTGGCTATCATTCCATTTTGGAATGGCTTGTCTTTGTTATATTAAAGAGGTGGGATTAGAGTTGGGTATATCTTGAGTCAATCTCTTCAGCAATATAAAAGAGATTCAACAAGCTAGCAGAAGCAGAGAGTGGAGAAGAGAGATTCCAGGCCACATGAAGATCACTCAGGAGCAAACGTTCAAGGATAAAGACCTTCCTCCAGAGACAATAGAGAAAGCTTCCACCTAACACCAACACCCTGAATTCAGACTTCTGGCTTCCTAAACTGTGAGAAACATTGTGTTTGTTAAAGTCATCCACTTAGGGTATACCTATTGTAACAACAAGACACAGTGAAAGTACCTGACCTAATCATATTGCCAGTTAACAGCAAAGTGGGGTCAAAACCAGGACTTTGAACCTACACCATGGCCAATAAAGTAAAACCAAAACAGACCTAAATTCCAAAAATGTAGGTGAATCCAGAACAATAATTGGAACAGGAAAATGTACAGGTTGAAGTCCTAGAATGAGAGAATCAAGAGAGGCCCTTCGAGAAATCTGATGTGAGACTCGAGATTACTGCCAGGACTGTGGGAAGGGGCATACATTCAAAGACGCACACCTGGCTACCATGTTTGAGCAAGGTAAGCACTGTCTCTCGGACTCGGCCAGTCAAGACTTTGGTTACTTTGCAATGCACACACGGCCCTTATTTTCTAAATGGGAAATTCAGTCTCAGGCAGGGCTCAGACCCCTAATTTTTCACATACCTTTTAGTATTCCAGTTCACCCACACTATAAAATTCAGTTTGGTTCTGGTGTCACTTGTGCACCCAGGACTGAACTGGGCTGAACCAGTTCAAAGCCCTGCTCAAACTCTCTGAAGAACAGTACACCATGCCTATGCAGCTGCCTTTAAGTTTTGGAAATTTGACTTGAATCCGTATAAAGATAAAAGCTTAAAAACTGTTCCTGGTATGTTATGAATAATTAAACAGTAACATTAATGCTTACCACATATGGAAGATAAGAACTTCTACGCAGCCTTCTATTTTAAAAACAGTTATGATAAAGAAAACTTAAAACTTAATTCAGCTTTCCCCTAAGGGTAATGCTGCTGTTGTTATTTGGTGCAGTGCTGACTCTATCAACGCTGTATAGGGTTTCCAAGGATTGGATGGTAGGGTTAAACTGTCAACCTTTTAGTAGTCCAGTTATTTCCTACAGCGCCACACCCAGATCTCCTTAACACTTATTTTGCTTTGACACTTAGGGCAATTGTTAAGTGCCACTGAGTTGATTCTGACTCATAGTGACCCTGTATAGGGTTTCCAAGGAGCAGCTAGTGAGTTTGAACCACCAACTTAGGCCTATAGCCTGAGACGAGTATAAACGTTCGACTTCAGTTACTTAAAACTTCGTTTCCAACCCAAATCCACAAGTTTCACTAAATGTAACCGAATGGCATTAGAAAAACAGTCTAGTTTACTTCAAAGGGACCCTGGTGCTGTAGAATAAGCAATGAGTTGCCAAATTCAAGGTTGGCAGTTCAAACCCACCAGGAGCTCCACGGAGAACTATGGCTTTCTGCTCCCATAAAGCTTTTACAGCCTCGCAGAGTCTGTGAGTGGGAATCGACTCAAGGCAATGAGTGATCTGACACTATCATACACCTGTGCTGTTGTTAAATGCCATCCAGTCGGTTCAGACTCACAGCGGTCCTGCATATGGTGTCCGAGGAGCGGCTAGTGGGTTTGAACTGCAGACCTTGTGGTTCGCAGTCCAATGCTGATCCTACAGCGCCACTACAAGTTCTAATGTACTTGAGAACCACTAATTAAATGTTCAAAATTTTAATTGCCTTAAGATTTAGCTTAAAAAATTTTTTTTTAATTCTTAAGTCTATAAAGCCCACTTTATAACACTTGCTCAGTTAATTCAAAGATTTAAAAAGAAAAATATACATTTTACTTATACTGGTAACTACAATACTCTGCAGAATCTAAAGAGCTATGTATATACCAAGATCTAGGATTCAAAGACAGGGAAGCAAGCCAAGGTCCTTCACCTGAAGTTGCTCTTCCAGCGGTGAAAACCACAGATTCTGCGGAGCCGCCATGCAATGCAGGGTTTAGGTGCTTTAGAGGCAATCTTTAGACCCTCCCTCCGACCCTCCAGATCTCTGCATCTGAGTTCTGCCTTCCAGGAACGAGACCACCCAACCACCACCACCTCCGAGGGAGTCCCGGCCACCCGGGCACCTGCAGCCGCCTCGCCACGGGCTGAGCCCGGTGCAACTTGTCACGGGTGGCCCTCCGGACACGGCGCCGGCGCCCACTCCCCGAGACTAGTCGGGAAGTCGCCCCTGGGGGGACAGGGGCCGACCTTGGGACCCGACGGAAAGCAGGGCAAGCGGCGTTACCTGAAGGACCACGTCGTTGGGCAGCTGCGCGGCCCGGAACAGTTCCAACACCCGCCCGTTGGCGGCCACCTTCTTGGTGCTCTCGATGTCGCAGTAGGAGAAGAGATCCGAATAGTATTTCTGCTCCGCATCGCTCAGCGTTAAGCCTTCCATCTTCGCCTGGGCTCACCGCCGCCCCGCCCCGCATGCAACACCCGGGCCCGACCCCGAGACCCCGGGGCTGCTGGGGCAGCGCGCGGCCTCGCGGCCCGGCCTCCGCCTC